AATTCTACAATCGTTTCGAGACGTCATCGAATATGATAAGATAAATATTTATATTATTTCTATATTCCAAAATTTTCGCATTTTCTTTTTTTTTTTTTTTTTTTTTTTTTTTTAATGACAATCTGACAAAAATTTGGAAGTAATATTATCTTAACGATAATTTTTTTTTTTTTTTTTTTAAACAATATCTAGAACAGCAGTTTAGATGTTTGACATCGAGAATTTTATAATTGTTGTTTGTGCTTCTCTTACTGAAGAGAAGTTACTTCCAAATCGGTCATTTCAGCAGTTTGTCATTAAAAAATAATGCAGACCTTTTTAAGATGTCCCGCATATATTCTCCTCTTTCTTTCTCTCTCCTTCTCCCTCTCTCTCTCTGTCTCTTCTTTGTATAAATTGTATTTTATTTCGTACTAGCAGATAAAAGTGTAAATTTTTTACAGTGACAGACATTGCTCAAGCTTCTGCGCGAAAAAAGAAATAGTTTTTAATACTGAACTATTAAATTTTTTCTTTGCAGGAAAAACAACGTACACAACTAGATACGTACAAAGGTAATCCAGAAAAGGAATGTGCTAAAACTGACTGGATACGTGCATATATATTTTTAGTACATGATATTAATAACAATGTAGGCGTTAAAAGTTACATCTAAATTAGTGTGAAATGTAGTTAAGTTTTGACAAAAGAGAACAAGGAGCTGAAAAGGCGCAGAGGAAAGCAGGCGATGAGTTTCTTTTTAGGAGACGACTAACAGTTATCTAGCTCTTATGGCGATTGTATATCTCCTCCTCTCTTTTGTGTATCATTTTCATATAAAATATACAAAAATATGTCGGAACAAATATTCACAGATCAAATATTAAAAGAGGGTCTCTGTGTACGTGAGTGTTCGTGTATATACGTGTTTCTTTCTTTTTGTTTTTTTTTTGTTTTTAACGTGTTTAAGTTGAGAAACGCTTACAGTGGATCTTTGGTAAGTTCCTTCTGGTAGGCAATCGGTGACTGTATCGCCTTCAAGAAGTCGCGCTGCGTTTGCAGAATGGCTGTGATTGTGTCTACCCATTCCTGTCTGCGCGGCCCGTTACTGTCTTCAGCCACGTTACAAGAAAATCCCAGCCCGGGTTTTCGTGGATCCGTCGATCGAATAATAAATTTCTCCGGATCGTCGTTCGAATCCTCGAGACTCATTTTGTTCACCTGCGCGCACACAATTATCCGATAACGTTAGTCTCTTTTGTTTGTGTACTCGAACGGCGCTTCGAGAATCAATTAGGTGATAAATAATAATTTTACCTGAATGTGTGCTTTGTATATGTAAGCGGGATTGGTGAACTGCGTCTTTTTGCCCACAGCTTCGCTAAAAATTATATTTTGTTCGAAAAGAAAGACTTGCCATTCTCTTCCTTTTGTCAATACGTTTGATATTTCTGTAACCAGCAGCGGACCGTGCAACAAGAGTTTTCCTTGCGCCGTTATTTTACCCTGGAGAAAATCAAGAATATACTCTTTTTTTTTTATAGAATGTGTGTTTTTGTCGCATAAAACTATAAGAAAAACGGAGAGAAAAGTAGAGAGAGCAGTACTACTCACGTCGAAACCTTGTAATCTCCCAACGTCCATCATATCGTTTGCAGCTTTAGGTATAACTCGCATGACATGAGCCGCCGCTCTGAGGCCTTCGATTTCCGATAACCTTTGAGTTCGTTCAGTGAGGCGCAGTGCCTCCCGTAGAAGAAGTTGATATTTTGTAATCCTTTGTACGGGTTTGATCAACAAGTCGCAGAGTTGCAGGCGATGTCCAAGTTTCTGACGAAGCTCCTACAAACGCGCAATTTCACATTGTTGTGTTTCGATACAAATTCTACGTTTCGCACAAGTGATATCACTTTGCAAATGCTAAACGATATTTGCTAAATTACCTCGAAGTAAGTATCTATGTATTCAGACACAATGTATTCCGAAACGGGTTTATTCTGACAATAAACCACGTACATGTGTAATTTTCGTTCGTAACGTTTAAAAAGAGGTCCGAGCTCTTCGGGACGTTCCAAACAACGCTCTAGAGCTTTGAAGAAAAAGCTGTGAAAACGAAAAGAAAGCGTTGATTGTATGTAAATCGTGCGCGAGGTCACGCGATTAGAAACGAATCGTTGAAATTTGTTCAAACAACGATCCGAGACTTACTCTCTGTGCCACTCGTAGATGGCTTCTACGTTACCGAAAACCATCTTGTCTTTCCCGCCGCGCAGATCTTCCGGCAAAGGAATCTCGCATTCGGGATTTCGCATTAGTGCCATGTAACCTTCGACTATCTGCTTTAAATCATTGATATAGTCTCTCTCGGTATCCACCAATTCGCGAATAACAAATTGTCGCTTGGCGATCGCGGTGCTTTCCTGATCCCTCGAATCTGATTCGTCGGTCGCGACCGAAGTGGCGGTCGTGTTGCACTGTTCTTCCTCGTTGCTTACTGTTTTCCCGTTAGGAGTTCGCATGAGACTCTGTCTTTCCTGATTTTCCGTATGTTGCTCCTGTCAATTACACGCGTAGAGTACTTGGCGCAATGCGCAATGAATTTTTGCGAGACGTTTAAAAAACTTACCATTCTCTCCTTCACGATCTGTTCAATTTCCGAGAGATCGGCCGTTGTGGCTCCGCCATCGAGTATCTTCGTCGTACGTTCGGAAGACTGCTGAAACAAATCGGATTACGACGCGGATGTAGGAAAAATTTGGAAAACGCGATAACAAAAGAAAAACATCAAAACGGAAACGACGCGCAAGTTTTCTCACTCGTTTTCCGGGTAATTCGCTCGGTATCGTGGATCCCGACGGTCCGTTCGCGGTCGTCACGAGTATTGGTTCGTTTATAGGCTTCATCGGTGGCGGGAGTTCCAAATCGTCGTCGGCGTCTTCGCCGCCGTTTTGTTCTTGCAAACTCGTAACCGCCGTGTCATCGATCTCCGTGACCAGATCAGCGTCCAGATCCACCTCGATTTCTTGCTGATCCTCGCTCTCCTCCTCTTCCTTGCTATTAATTTCCTCGTCCTCTTGTGCGCCAACTTCCGCTTCGAACGCCGCCTTGCCAGGCCGATTATTTTCAACGCCGCTCGGCAATTTAAAGCGTTTATCCGAGGTGTTTTTCTTCAAAGACGTCTCAATCAAAGGAGACGATGACGTCGGTACGGCTGTATTGGTTTTCTCGACTTTACCTTGGCTAAGTTTACGTAAAGACGGTGGGAGCCACTTCCGTCTATAAACAGAAACGCCCGTCATGGTACGTGATAATCGTTGCACGTATGACATTTCGAGATAATAGAGATATTTAAACGATAATTTTCTATCAAGAGCGCTCTTACCCGCTGAAACCTCGTCTCTTGTTGCCGGGCGAATTTGTACTGGCCGAACCGCTGCCGTCGCTTCCGGCAGTTTCTGTCAATTAAAAAAAAATAAAAATAAAAAAAATAAAAAAAAAACACAAAAGTAGCGCTATATTCTCCGTGGTTTAAAATTATATGTTGTAATCTATATCGAGTTATCGGAATTGATAAGAGAAATGAGTACACACGATCGCGTCATGTAAATTCACATCAATTTGCGGTTTACCGACTTCCTGCAGTTTGCCGAGTCACAGAATTCGCGTCAGTTTTTTTTTTTTTAATTTCTTTCAACGTGTACGTGACATACTGCAAGTTTTTTTTTTTTTATATCGCAATGCTACGTGCGTAGTTTGGACGGTGCACAGGAAGAAAAAAATTATAAAACTTACGGAAGCGTGAAATATTAGGTAATAGGTTAGTGTCGTGAGTTCTATTCACCTGCTTCCTCCGATAACATTGGCGATAGAGCCGCAGACGACAACGCGGTCAACGAAGCCGCTTGCTGCGTAGCCGGCGCGATACCGGTCGGCGGTAACGTGCTGGCAGTAGTAGCGACGATAGTTTGTTGCTGCCCCTGGATGACGGGATTTTGATTGATCTGCTGTTGTTGATGATACGGATGATGATGTGATGACTGTTGTTGATGATGATGCTGTTGGTACAATTGTTGTTGCTGCTGTTGTTGCTGCTGTTGTTGCGTGGACGCTTTTCTGGACGGCGAAGTTTTACAGGAGGCGGTCGGTGGCTGCTTCAGAGCGCTGGTAGGTACCAGACCCTCTGCGGCGGGTTCGGCTTGTCCGGGCGTGAGTGGCAAACGTACCAAAGTCCACTCGCCGGTATTGGGAACCCCTCCTGTTGTGCCGTTCTCCAACACTTCGACTTGTTGTCCCTTTGTCACGCTGAGTTCTCTCGAACCCGGTGCGGCCATATGATCGGCAACCACCCACGTCATTTCGACCACCCCGGTCTGAAAACACACGCATCAGAGACTTCCAATAGATATCAATGTGTCCCACATTGCCGAGGTCGCAATTCACGGTCGACGTACGCGAGATATCCTCGCGATATCGGAAGAGGGTGGCAAAATATAGAAATGGATAATTAGTGGAGTGTGGTGTGTGCGTCTGGGTGCGCGCGTGCGTGAAAGCGGAGGGCAGGCAAAGGCGGAAAGGAGAAGGAGGTGGTGTCAGCGACAGCAGGCGGTAGAGATATACCGAAAGCAGGGAAGTAAAGCGAAGAGGAAGAGAAGAGTTGCCCTCCCGTGCTTACGCAAGCGTAGACCGGTCGATACGATCGTCATCTCGGTCGCTCTCGCGGCGCGAGAGAGTGCCTCTCTCTCACTGCGCGAAAAACCGATTGTCTTTGAATTTGCGGATCGACGGAGCGAGATCCAGAGATCCGATTACTGACGCCCGGATGATTCTGATCGTCCGCGGGGGATCAGTGTCACCGGGTGTCAGCGTCGCGCTTTTCTACGCTTTTAAATCGCACGCGGCGGTGGGATTCCGGCGTTTTGAAAATAGCTAATGTCACAACACCGCGGGTACTTTGACGTTACTATAAATACCACGCGTGTTCGTGTGTTTTGCCGTTGAGTGTGTGTCGCGTTTATATACCGCGGTTTTAACACCAACACCGTCTTTCTCGTGCGAGAGACGCGCAATTGTTTGCTCGACGTGGCCGCGGATGGTCCCGCCCGATTTTCGTGCATTCCGCGATCCGAAATAGAATTTTCCACGTGCCAAATCCGCTCGCGGATATCGTTAACTTGTGCCGCGTCGCGCCGAGCCGTGCGAACAACCAAGGTAAAGAGAGGAAAAAAAAAAAAAGATATCAGCGACGATACACACGATGAGAAGAAGCGTGAAAAATTTGCTTCATCACCGTCCAATTTTTTTTTTTAGATATCCAATATTTACACAATATTTTTTTTGTTTATTGTAACATTTCTGTATATGTTTTTGTTTTATGTCTTCTTGTTAAAAAAAAAAAAAAATTTTAGATCAACTCGCTTCTGAAATGATTTTTCCTTAAGAGGATACTGGCTCCGGTAGCCTCTCAATTACCTCTTCAAAAACAAATAATTGTTGTTAGATAAAAATAAATATACGCCGACTTTGTTATAACTTTTTTTATAACGTTTAATTTCGACAACTTTAAATTTTCATGAAAACTCTATTTCGTGCATATTACGGTTTGAAAAAAAAAAACAAAAAAAAAAGATATTTCACGGAGCTTATATGATTTATAAAACTCTAAATGATGTTATTTATCATCGGATTGAATACAGAGTGTTGGTCTCGTAGGCAAAAGTCAGTACAAGATATCGCGGATACCTGGGAAGGCTGACGGCGCAAAAGCCGGGCCTGAAATGAGCTCGGCGTGTCGATGGTGTGCTGCCTAGACAGACTCGCGTGCGACGGGTTCGTGGAGCCCTGACGAAACCACGGCAGGGAGATCTTTCTGCGCGCTTTCTGGACGATCGTCGCCGGTTTCCCAGCCTGCGACGTCATGACAATTCGTCGGCTCGCGCGGCGGCGATCGGTATTAGTTCGCTGCGATTTTCACACGCGCGAATGCGGTCGTAACGCGGAAAAGGGTTGAAACGACAGCGAGTTGTTGATCAAGGAACATTTTTCTGGGTGTGTGACAGCGCGTAATATATCTGCCATCGCCGCGACTTGTTCTCCGTTATTTTTTCTTCTCTCTCAATTTCTCTCGAGGAGGATAAGAAGATCGGATCTTCGCTTGATCCACTCAATGTCTCGCAATCAGGGATGCCGAGCCTCGAGTGGATCCATCCGACTCGCGAGTCGCGCCCGTACTGATTGTCGGTCCGGTCGTGCAGAGTGACGAGACTATAACCCAACCCAACTTGCGCCCCACCCAACCCTGCAAAGCGGCAGCAGGGTCTCCTCTCCATAGCTTTTCTGTACTATACCACCTTGTCGTAGTGGGTGAACTCGTGAGAGAAATCAGGTGAATCGTATAGTGCACTCGGGACCAGTAACGTGTTTGAACAAAACGGCTTGGGAGCGAGAAAATCAAATCTTTATCAAGGGTTGGAAAGACATATACAATCTAGGTTCTCATAAAAAAAAAAAAAAAAAGATGAAAGAGAATTAGATCGCGCGGCTTTGTACGCGTGTCAAATGTTAAAAAAACTTCTGCTATAAAAATGTCAAAATTCCTATTATTTAAAGTTTAATCTTTTAAAAGAAAAAATATCTCGAGATATATCAAAATATTCCGTCGACATATGAATTTTGCTTAAAACTTACTTATTGTTCGAGCAATTTAATATTTAATTTTTTAACGTTATGAAAAAAAAAAATTATAATTAAAGAAAAGACACTAAGAGATACTAAACAAACTTTTTTCACAAAGCACGTGCGTGTTGCGATATTATATAATTAAAATCTACGTTCTAATTTTTTTCTTTTTCTTCTCTATGAAATAAAAGACTAAAGACTCTAAGTAAAAAATTAATTTTGTGTTTAATTAAATTTTTGTAAATACAAACAGTGTGTTTTTATGTGTATTTATGTGTATACTGGAGAGAACGGTCGTTTAAAATTAGACAAATTAGAAAACATTGCCGGCCGATAGTGAATTAAGGCACCGCAAATTTGTCAACTTTAATCTCTTTTAAGAATAAATATCAAATTTTGTGTTTTTAAATTAGCAGCAAAGTCCGAGGGTTAGTTGCATTTAAACAATCACTTTTATATATGAATTTTGTACGAAAACTGTGTGTAAAAAAAGGCAGACTTGATATAAAAAAAAAAAAAGATCTAGAACAAATAGAATAAAAGGATAGTGGAAGAAATCATGCTTTTACCTTATCAGAATCCGTGGTGTTGGTCGAGCCGAAAGACGCCAGTGAATTTCTATCAAGATTCTCCACACTTTCGTCCAGAGACGCGCATTCTTCCAGATCTCTACTTGAACGTTGACTGGAGCTCTTCTTGGCGGGACTCTTCGGCATGTTCTTGCCCAAAAAGGTTTCTTGTATTACCTCACGCAGCCTCATCACCCACAGCTGTTTCGCGTCCATTGAATTCGCTCGTAGCACAACGCGCGTATCGCTAGTCGGCGCCCGTCCTGTCCACACAGCGAATTTACATTCGTCGCCCTCGATATGCTCAGTTACACCCAACTCGGAAGTTAACAAACGATTTTTATAAACGTATTTCACCTATGCAAACAATTTGGCGTGTCACATATATATATGCGGTGTGTAATAATAAATTTAAATTTGAATGTTAAAAAATAGAATTTGTTCTTTACAAACCTTTCCGGCGGAATCCTTCACTTCCTTCGTAAAGAGAAGATATAATTCGAAGAGAAATATGTGACGGTCTCGTCCCTTTCTGATCAGTTGTTTTGGGTCCCATACAGTGAATGAATCCTGCAATACAACGTCACCGAGTGCATCTATACTAACGTCGCAACCTTCCAGTAGACTTAAATGTAAGGCATCGTTAGCTTTCTTAGGCACATTTAACATCACTTCTAATCCCTCTTTTATCTCGCCTTGTCCTTCTTGGCAGCAAGCCTGAAGAAAACAAATGTATGTTAATTAACAAAATGTTGTGAAAAATTTTTTAATTGTTATTTAAATTAACAAGTTTTGAAATATATACATGTGCTGTGTGCGTACCTGTAAGTCCTTAAGTAGCAACTGATATTTAGTGATTCTCTGCACGGGTTTGATTAAATACGCGGCAATAGGATGTTCTACTCTATGTTTTCTCTGCAATTCCTCAAACCACATGCCACCGTGAGTTACCAAAAGCTGATTGCTCTCAGGCTTATTTTTACAGTAAGTTACGTACATGTCAAATTTAGGTGCCTAAAATCAAAGAATTGTTATGTAACATAATTAATAATAACCGGTGTATGTAATATGAATTATCTACTGATACACTCACCCACACTACAAAACAATGTCCCACATCTTCTGGCATGGTTTCGTATTTTTCCAGCTCGCGTAAAAACACATTGCTGTGAAACTGATGTATCTCCTCTATGTTGCTAAAAATAATCGACTCGCGACTTTGCAAACCCGGCGGAACATTTCCCTTTCCACTTCGCGTTTCGTCCAGGAAGCAACGGATGCAAGTCTCCAAGTCTTTTACATACGTGCGCTCGGTTTGAAGAAGTTCGGCCATAATAAACTCTTTTCTGCGAGCAGATCTTCTCTTCTCTTCGTTCAGCTCTTTCAGATCTTTACCCTTGATCTTCTCTTCCAGCAACGGATCCGAATTCCGATCGATAGACAGATCTCTGTGTACCTCATCAGACTGAATACCTAAGTCGTCTTCGATTTGCGTTTTGTAGCAATCCATTCGAGCACTAAAGTCTTTGTATCGCTGATCCACTTCGGCAACAGCCTGTTTGATTGCTGCGGCGTGAGCATGACCTCTTTCGACCAAATTATCAGCGAGTTGTATCAACAATTTCACTCGTTCTCTTGTCTCCTTCGCCGCACCCTTGAACTCGTTATGCTCCTGCAGCAACTGCTCATTTTCAATACGATTCTTGCCGACGTTGGTGTGCGTCGCCAGATACAATTCTCCGGTTTCTCTTATCCATTCAAGAGCCTGTTTCGCGCTACGTTCGAACAGAACGTACTGATGACACTGATCCAAGCGTTTCTTCCGCTGAGTCCAATATTCGAGCACTTTGTTCTCCTTACTAACTAACTCCTCTAAAATATTTTTGACCTTGTTTGCGGAACCGGCGCTGTTCGAGTGATAACTATAAAACTGTAGACTGCGATTAATGTACTTTAAGAACGTTTCGCCGGTTCGTCGTACGAGGGTGCAGGCCTTCAGAAAAGCTTCCTTTTGTTCCTGATGTCTAGTGAGAGATGCCGGTATAGACGCGGCTTTGTCTCCGTCGGCGCACCAGTCGTCGTCCACGTTGTATTGTAATTCTAAACTGTCGAGAACCGAACGTACAGAATCAACCGTTTTGTAAAAGTTCAAACTAGCGGTGATTAATTTGTGCCGTTCCTCCGCGCAAGTAACCAGTTGTTGCCACCGTTTAGTAACGTCTTCCGCTATTTCTCTTATGCTTTTTGGATCGTAATGATTCCCGTTTATCAAAGCGTCCGCTTTGTGTTTCACTTGAACAGCGGAAGCGTGAGTATTCGTTATCGCGATTTGGAACTGATCGTGTTCCTTTCCCAGTTGATCAGCATCTTCGAAGTCTTCCGGTATCCTCAACGATGCCAACAATATCGATTCGCCGTTTCGTATCCATTTGATCACGTGAGAAGCGTCAGTCTGCAGCTGCAGCAATTGCGAGGCTTGCTCCAACCGTACTCTTCGCATCTCCGCGAGATCTTCCGCGTCCAGTTCCCTCTCGTTAAGAAATTCGAGGAGCATCTGCACTCGTGCAGTAGCGCTATGCTGACCGTCTGCCATAATACACACTCCCGCCTCTTCCAGAACCTGCGCCAGATCTTGTCCGCGGTGGAGAATTTGAAAAGCGGTGTTCTGCATATGAACCACGCCGTCATTATGAACGCGTAGCAGCTGCTCGGGCGAACCTTCTCGCGGTGGTCCTTGAAGTTCCTGCGCCCACATCTCCAACTGACCGCTCGCTTCTAGCGCGTCTCGTTCGAACACGCGCAATCGCAGGCATAATTCGAGTCGCAATTTTTTCGTAGCCCATAAATCCTCCAATTCTTGTCTGAGATTCGCCAGTCTATCCAATGCCGACTCTACGGCCGATATCGAGCCAGTGGTGTCAGGTGCGTCGGTCGTTTCGCGCAGCTCTTGAAGCAGAGCTTCTCCTTGAGCTATCGTCGAAGCGCACGCTTCGAGACAGGATGATCTGTGTTGCGCGCATTGCTCCAACAGTCTTTCGGCTGTCTCGAGATTCTCCGCCACCTCGTCCTGCTGTAATTCTTGACGTAACTCGTCTACCCATCCGGTGAGCTGCGAAACAAAAACGCCGTATTAAAAATGTCATCGTACATAAATATACATCTACGCATTATACAGGCTGCCGCGCACGTAAACATCCTTACATAGCATAATCGATAAAAATACCTCTTTTTCATGCGTATAAAATACTACTGCCAGGTCTAATCTCCGACGTCGTTGCTCAACCCTCGTCGCAAAGCTGCTAACGTGAGCTTCTAATTCTTGCGCCACGGCGTATATCTCATCGGGTGCACACTCTCCCGTATGAGCAAGTTCCTCTGCAGCGGTCAAAAGCTTGGTTGCGTTTGTATAAGTATTCTGCGATAAAAATTAAAACATGTTACGTTCATTGAATCACTTTAATAAAAATTGTATTACACACGTACACACATATAAATATCACACCTGAGCAACATTTTCAAAATGTTCATGGCTCTTTTGATAGACGCGTGCTTTCTGCAGATTACGACCGACACCTGTGTTTTTTCTAATAAAAACTTCGCCGTGATTCGTCAACCAATCGAGAACTTGTTTGACATCTTCTTGGAATAATCTGAAAAGCAAAATTGTTATATTATATGCTAGTCGTTCTAATGTCAGTATTGCAAGTTCATTATTTTCATACTTTAATGCGAGCCGTTGATGCAATTTGACTTTACGAGCGTGCCAACGAGCTTCCAATGCTCTGTGATGACCGAGAATCTGATGAATAACTGCTAACACGTGGGATGCACCTTCGCTGTAATCAGCCGCTGGATTACCACTCGTGCCGGTGTGACTATCAATATTGTGTCCATCTTGGCTCTAGATAAATTAGATATCAAAACGTACATTTTTTTTTTCAAAGAATACAAATTAGTCTGATAGAAGATTAATTATCGACATGCATTCCGCTAAATACCATTATTTTAACGAGCTTCATATATAAGCTATGTAATATATAATTATAGCACAAGCATATTTATATATATATATATATATTAATCCCTGGAAAACAACCGTGTTTGTATAAGAACAATCCCTCTTTTCTTTTCCCCATGCAAAGAGCGATTTAAATAAAAGAACGATAATTTTTAAATACTTTAAACGCACCAATTCGCTATCTCTCTCAATTAAGATAATAGACGTTGTTTCTTAATAAACTGTTTTTTTTTTGTTTTAAAAACTTGAAACAGAGTGTGAAAATAGAATCACGGAAAAAATATTTAATAATGCGAAAAAAACAAATTGTTCCTAAAACACCTATTAACGTACATGTTTCCTGGCGATATGGTCAATTCCTTGTGGTTGATTACAGACTTGCACAAGATGATCCAGCTGATAAAGAAGCTTCTTACTGGTACTATGCACCTAAATAAGAATTTTATCCAATCCCGTTTAAAAATACGCATTTGTACATGTTTATTTTACATTGCAAAACAATTGTAGACTGAATACATATGTATGGTAATTAATTTAACTCTGAAGAAGGAACTTAGAATTTAAAAAAAAAAAAAAAAGAAAAAAAACAAAATATCATATCAATGCATCAATATACGTATAAAAACATTGTTCGAGGATACTGAGACGCCTGGGTTATAAGAAAATTATATTGAATGTTAATCGTTGAGAAAAATTTGCAGATAGGTATTTCCAATAGCACCCAAGTACCAAGCGAGCAACGGATTCCATCCGCCTATAAAAGCTATAGAAATCAAATTTTTCGTACATAATCGACGCGAAATGTATCCGACCTTGAAGAATGTGCGCTCACATTATGACATACTTGCAGCATTGAACCCAGGCCGCTCAATAATGCTTGATATGCATTGTAAACCTGTTAAATATCAAATGAAGTTACAATTTACATGTCAAAAGAATAAACAAAAGAGAAATTCGATGAAATTGGATTTTGCGATTCTCTTGAAGTAACAAAAAATAAATCTTGTACTCTGCTAAAATCATAATAAAAATTAATAGTCTCGAATAATGATGAGGTGCCATACTACAATATTACGGAGTATATACGTAACTATGTACATATATGAACTTTACCTCGGTATATGCTTGACACATTGCTTCGTAAAGAGTTTGATGCTGACGAATGTGAGATTCGAGAACAGGAATTTCACTAGGCAGATTGCTAATTTCACACGCTTGACTCCAGCCGGCAACATTGTCAACATACTGTTCCGCTTTATGATGAAACACTACACTCAAACTAAGTACCGCGGTACGTTCATCGAGACCCGCGGCGAATTCTTTCCAAGCTCGATCCAGACGGCCCGCCACCGCTCGCACGTGTCCGGCCGCGTAATGCTGCGTTTCCAGCAATCTACCGGCCATTGTGAGGATCTTATTGATATTCACGTAAACGTTCATCGAACTCATTGTGAAGTGCTTATGTTCTTCTTGCAAATTCTTGGCTAACTGATACGAACGGCCGATCTCCACGTAACTGGCAAGAAATGCCTCTCGATTATGACAGATCCAATCGAACATCTTTTCGCAGTCCTGTTCGAACAATCGCAGTTGAAAACACTGATCTAGTTTCATCTTCTTGATGTGCCACAGTTGTAACAGATGCTGCTGTGCGGCGTGCACAGAGTCCAGATGTTGTATAACCATGGTGGCCAATGCTCTTCCATCTGAATCGGCACAACTCGCCGCGCCATTATCAATACTTCCTCCCTCACCACCGGTTGCCGTTGCACCTACAAAGACATATTCATTAAATTGCGCGCATTGTCTTTACTTAATTAAGTTAAATTTGAACGTCAATCTATTTATTTGATTATTATTAGAGAAAAAAATAAGATAAGTTTGCTTACTATTATTAAATCGTTGAAGAAGACGTTGTCCGAGAACTTCGATGTCTTCCACCGGAACTTTCATGATTTTTTTTTTCATTTCATTGTGCAAATCAATACCGTGCTTAGCACCTGCGACATCGTCTGCAAAGTCATTTCGACTGAGGTCTTCCTGCAAGTCATCTAATCTATCAAGAAGATCAGCTGCCTGCCATGTAAAGTCTTCTACAACTAATCTGGTTTCAATCCACTGAGCATGGTCATATTGCAAAGATCCATCTAAGTCCGCAGTGAGCTGAGAAGGATCTACAACTTTTACAAGAGCTTCTAAGCTAATTGTATTAATCTGAAATTATAAAATGTATTTCAATTAATTAACTGTACTACACATCCTGTAAATATAATCATATATATATATGTATATATATATATATATATATATATATATATCAATGTACAATCTTATACAATTAACTGTTAAACTTACCTCAAAATTATATTTCTTCTGCTTACCCAATGAGGTCCTCTGTTTCTGCCAAAAGTTCTCTGGTTTAATAAGAAAAGCGACATAAACTGTACGATGAAAATGCTCGTGCAATACCTAGAAAAAACAAATCTTATATTAACTACACAGTTAATATAACTGTAATGTAAATTTAACAATTAATATTACAAACAATGTATTTATAATTATATATATATATATATATATATATATATATATATATATATATATATATATACACTGCAATTTATATAAAATAGAAAGCAGATATTTATATAAAATCATTTGTTCAGAAAAGACAGTAATCTAAGATGATGATACCTTTAAGATGGGTTTAACAGAATCCCATGTGGTACCACGCATGTCCACAATTACAGTAAACCGTAGGCCTCTGACTTCATCACTGGGAATAGCAAACAGATACTGTAAGAGACGCTTGTAGTCCTCAGGTTTTGCACGTTCGCGTTTTTGCGTACTAGGAAACAGAAGTACAGGCCCTCCTCTACGATCGCGTCCACCTGGCAGTATAGCCAGACGTTCTTGCAGCAGTGGCAATATTTCTGTTGCCCGTGTGCCATCCATTATCCTTGCTTTGTATATTAAATTGTCATGATCTGTTTTTATTAACAAAAAAAAAACATGTGCGGGATAAACTTTTATCATTACTCACACGCACAAGAGACCAGTAGTATAAAGATCAATGTTAATCAACACACCATAAACCACTAAAACAACTGTTTGTAAATTAAAAAAAAATCCAATCATTAGTCTCTTAATGAAAACAGCTGCTTAATCACAGTTCAGTTTATAATCATAAAATTTGGTTCGATTTCAAATTGGCTCCTCAAATGAGTTGATTTGTCTTCTTGTGGTTTTCAATTAGAGAATCATTAATGTAAAGAAAAGCAATTACAGGAAGCTCCATAAATGCGTTCGGTAAAGTAGTCAAATTCAAGGTCGTGACACCCACGAATACGAATACAATGTATCGGTAGGGGGCTATGCAGCCCATTTCTGTCACGGTATCTACGTACTTTTTACGGCGAGCTATCACCGATCCCATACGAGAGCGGAATGCGAGACGCAAGAGAACCGTTGTTTGTAGCGTGAGAGAGTGTACACGCGACGGCACACACGCGTACGGGAAATAACAAGCACATAACCATCCCTCTTCGGTTCTACGTCAAATTACTGTATATCGCGACGTCGACGAGTCGCGAACAGGTTGAATGAAATCGGGGAATAAACACGCGAATCGAATAAATATTCGCGCGATGATAGCAAAACGTTCAAGTACGAGGGAGCCAATCAATCGTCTCTCGTTTCTTCAAGAGACATAAGCGGCCTGTCACACAGACGCGGACCGGACATTCGACGAGTGTGTTTTCGATACGTTTATTTTCCTTTTTCTTTTTTTTTTTTTTTTTTTTATCGTCGTACCACCGACGGATATCATCATCCCGTGAGAACATGTGCGTCGCGTCTCCCGCGAGATTCGCGATTTGCAACACAAACTAATCGAGTCGAGTCTGTAATTCTTCCCGTCGGCGTGCGAGAATTCTCGAGATAAAACGGACAACACATCCGTATAATAGACTATCTCTCTCACCTGCAGAAAATTCGTTTACGACGATCTCGACGTCTTTGTCCCACGTTGCTGCAACACCGAATCTCCTCGCGTAACCGGTCTATCCCTCATATTGTCGTTACATCGGTATTAAAATCACAGGTGACCGTAGCGCGAGCGAAATTCCGACATCACCGCTGCCATGTTCGGCCGACACAAGTTTTCACAGCTTCCGTGCCAATATCGTCCAAAGCAACACGAAGAGACGGCATGAATCGCGCGACTATTGCGAGGCGTTACTTGAGTCCGTGTCCCGCAGAAAAATTTCCTTGCGCCGGAACAAAACGTTACATCCTCATCGAATTATCGAACTTGATTCGGATTGGCTCCCGACGAGGATGTACGATTGTGTACCGCGTGTGCAACGGAAAAACCTGACCAATGAAATATCCAGTGCCATGTTGCTGCGGTTTTCGTGCCAGGCACGATATTGGTTGATTTTTCGCACGACATCTGTCTGACGCGACTGTTGACTGTTGACTGCCGTTCATACATATAGCTATCGTTTTCGTGATGATACGTAAAGTGTCAGTTTATCTTCGTTGCTCGTCGAATGTGGAGCGAGGATAGACTAACTCTTCCTAGCATGCAACAAAGTAACGCAACGTGCACGTTGTTTTAAAAAATGTTTTGTTTTTTTTACAATTCAGGTTGTATATATATATATATACATATATATAAAAATTATATACATGTAAAAAATGTACATATACACAAACTAAGTAATGACAAAAACCAATATATAAGAAAAGAAACAGCACTGCATATTCTTTTATTATCGTTAAACTTTACCTTATATTTCTATATAATAAAAAGAATTATATATAAACTTATATACAGTTTATAAGTCACAAAGGTACACATAGATCCATTCGCGCTCAACTGATCGTGATTTCGAGAAAACGTCGGTCTTCTTAAATTCACGAAGAGCTATCTTGCTCCTCTCCCGTTAGTATGTCATTTATATTATTACACCATTCATAAATATAAAACACAACTATATACGACACTAAGAGCTCTTTGAGCGGAACGTAATGTTTTTGACAATTCAACCAACTCAAGTCCAAGAGCGTGTACAACTCGGTTTCCAATACTATTGCCATGTGATGCTCGTGACAAACGCTGCTTATTTTTTCCTTCAATATATTATGCGCGCTCTCAAATGCTCTTAACAAATTCTCACTGGACACTAATCCACATTTTTTTCCATTATTTGTGAGAAGATTCTTACAGATTTCGCAGCTTTTGATGCGCGAATTGTTGAGAATTTTTGTTGCGATGCAATTGCAAGTGATTAAATGGTCATGCTTTTCGCCCTTCGTCTCTATCTCTAGATCTAACAACACGTCGTTCATCGAGTTGTCGCAATTGCTCTCCGTTTCCCGGACAAAATCTTTCAAAGAAAACAGCAACGAACCGTCTATCTTGTTCTCGCAGCTATTTTCCACGCGAGGCGACGACAAGTTGTTAATTAGCAATATTTTGAAAGAACTTTCAAATTCCGCACACGTGGGATGTCTCGTGTTACAGGATCTGATCTGTCCGAGAAAATGTCGTAGGCAATCCAGGTTTAAGATCCGCGGTTTGAAAAATTTCGTGTCGTATAATTTAAGAAGTTTCCACAACTTGCGAAATCCTCGTATTGTGCTGATCCAATTTTTGAGAACAGTCGAATCTGTTGTTGGATTTTTAGTTTTCGGATCAACAAATCGCATTCTCTGCAGTCTTTTTACCGCTCTCTCCCAAAATGGAAAATGTGGAATATTGTTTTGTGAAATGGCAACTCTTAATGGTTTTTCCGGTTTTAACGTGTGACCGTTCAGAGAATCGAACAATCGATCGAAGAATAGTACCATCTCTGCCGTATCACGTCCTCTCTTATCCGGCATTTTTAATGGTCCATAGACCGTATTCACGCATCCTATAAACAAAAAATATTAATATAAGAATGTTAATTATTGATCGTTTATAAATGTATTCTATTTTTCTCTTTTGTGTGTGTGTGTGTAATAAATGTACAAATACCTTCCAACTTAGTGTGGTGATCTATGAATCCACCCATTGTCGTACTTAAAACTTCTGCAGCATACTTAACTTTCTTTTTCTTTATTTTACTCTTTATTACGTGCTCCGCAGTAATTTTCGGCATTAATCGATACTTGCTATCTGTCAAATCCATATGATACGCTTGTTCGATAATCTCCCATGATGCAAATTTGCGTTCTTCTCCTTCTATGCAATCAAATTCGAGATCGCTAGTTAATAACTTGTCGCGTATGCCTTTAATGAGATACGGTGGATCAAACAACGGGATTATATCATGGTTGTTCAGTGTTATGTATCCATCTAAAAAAAAGATACTAAATATTTAATAAATTATATTTAAGAAATGAAAATATAAACAAAATATTTTGTAATATTTAATCTGTGAAAATTACTTGAAGTACTTACAATATAATTGTCCTTGCGTGGACTTAAGTTTTGATGACTCTACTTTCAATTTATTTATAACTGTAAGATTCGTTCTTCTATCGTCACATACAAAAGCCATTAGATATAATCCATTTTCAATTATAATAGTTACAATATTCCTTATCCATTCTATGAGCTGATCAGGTTTTGTGGCGCCATCGCAGAAATAATACGCCAATGGAAACTTCCATCCACTGTGTATACCACGCACCATAAAAACTAATGCATGATCAACGAATTGCGGACTCCTTTTTTGTCCAAAGTCTTGAAAACCAAGAATGTGCTTCTTGTTTGCATCATAATCCAAATGTGGTTGTAAGAACATTTCGTCCCACATTAAACAGCACACTTTGTCTCTTTTCCTCATACGTTTTACATGTGTATTCAGATGTTGATTTATAAATTTAATTGGACCTGGATGAATCTGTACTTTTTGAAGTATACATCGCAGAGTGCCTATACTAGGCAGATTAAATATTTGCGTTAGATATTGATAACATTTACTGGATTGCATGATGGATAAAGCTGTAATCTTCTCATTTAAAGTAAAGTGCCTGTTCTAAAAATAAAAAATAAATTATAAATAAATTGAAGTCTTGAAAGTTTTTCAAGCATTTTTACGATTTTCACGAGGGAATTATTTACATACCTTAGGTGCATATTTCGAAGTTTTTATCTGCATTTCAAGAAACTTACGTTGAACAGATGTTAATGAAGACAACAGCTTTTCCAATGCAGTACTTTTGCTATACTTTTTAGCTTGTCTTAAACGTTGACAAAATGACAATTTCTTCTTTGACATAATTTCTTGTTTTTGCTTCAGCATGCTTGACAATTTGTATAACTTCCATATTTGTGGTGTAAACTCATGGAAATATTTTCCTTGTACTAAAGTTTGTAGATCTAACAAATTGGTTATTGAATTGAATTTTGAAGATTCTGGTTTAAAAAACTCTGAAGGTTCAGATTCTGAAGACTTGCAAGTTTCTGAAAACTTCGCGTATAGTTTTGATTCTGAAGAATTTGAAAACTTCAGTTTTTCTGAAGACTTTGATTTTATAAGTTCTGATTTTCGACGCTTTGATGCTAGAGACTCATCTTCTAAATCTATTGCACTCGCAAGTTCGTCCAGTTCATCTTCTGAAGATTGTGATCTTTCTACTCTTCGACGTTTTGATCTTGAAGATTTATCATCTAAAGATACTGAGTTTACAGATTCTAATTCTGTTTCTGAAGACATCGATTGTAAAGAGTCTGAGCTTGAAAATTCTGATGGTAAATCATTCAGTTGTGAAGATTCTGGTAATGAAGGTTCTAGTTCTAAAGGCTGTGATTCCACAAGTTCTTGAGATTCCACAAGATCTTGTGATTCTACAAGTTCTTGTATCAAAGATTGTGATTTCACAGACTTAGATTCTGGAGATTTGGATTTTACAGGTCTAGGTTCTGGAGATTTGGATTTTACAGGTTTAGGTTCTGGAGACTTGGATTTTACTGGTCTAGGTTCTGGAGACATGGAGTTTACAGACCTAGGTTCTGGAGACTTGGACTTTATAGTCTCTGATTTTGAAATTTCTGGTGCAGAAGATTCTGGAATCTTGAATGTTTTAAGTTCTAATTTAGGAGGGTTCTTATTTACTGAAATATTGAAGTTTTGTGATATCTTTCCTGTGGGCTCTTTACTGTGTTCTGTGACTTCTATCAGTTCAATCTCTTCAACAGTTTTGACAGTATCTGTCACTTCCACTGTAGAGTCTTTTAAAGTTCCATTTAGTTTTGTTGTTTTATTTCTTCTTCTCTTTGTTGATTTTTTTTCTTCCTTGATCTCACTGTCCTTACTTGGTATATTTAACGATGGTACTACACCAGGTTTTAATCTGCGTTGTGTGTATATGTTCATATAATCACTATCCGCAAAGTGTTTATAACACACAGCATATTTTCTCACTTCTTCATCTGTTAAACCATCAATTTTTTTAGAAAAAACAGCTTTTTTCCATTTATCCATCATGATCTGGTCTTTGGGAAATATGTGAAAGGGTAGACTCACTGCCGTGGTACAACCCAAAACGACACAATGTTTACCCATAACCTAAAATGATAAACATTAGTATCAAATCTAAACTATTTTAAGTAAAATATATCCTTTAAATGTTTGTGCTCACTGTGACTGCGAATAATGACTTCTTTTAAGAGTAAATAGTAAAAACAAAGTCGAAAGCAAAAACGAGCAAAAAGATAAAATTCAACCCGTTACACTCAAGCCCAAAAGATAACGAATTCGAATCTCGCCGCCTCACTTTCGACGCCTACTTTAAAACTGTAGATCTTCTGTTTAACACAATACAAAGCGGTACATTAAACATGCGACAAAAAAATAAGACTCAAATCAAACGCAAATCAATCATCAACTGACAAAAGAAGTGAGATTCAGTCATTTAAGATTCGATCATAGGTTATAATTCTTGTTAAAATTTGTTCCAAATGGTTCGAATCAAGTTGATCCGCGAGGGTTCTGATCCTGGATTACTGAACATTTTTATCACTTGAGGATGGTGATCATCGACGCGCACACCGCATATTATAAACTACATCATCCTTTCTAGTGCGCGGTCAAAAGCTAAAGAGGGTAATAATATGACAATATACGTCTTCATAATATTTCTTACAAGAGTTCCATCGAGATAACAGCGTTCTCATATTTAGGAATATCTTATCCTTTGATGTGCAAACACGCAAACACCACACATCTGCATTTGCTCAGGCATTATAAAGATCATTTAAATCCTGTATAAATATCTCTCAGATACAGTTCTGACCGGAACAAAATACAAACCTATTTAAGCTGAATCAGTTCTTGGTCCGGATGCAGTTACAGTTACAGGTGAGAAACAAAAATAAAAAAATATGGCAAACACACGTGTTAATTTAAATTTTAATTGTACAGAAAAAAGAAACACGACTTATATATAAGTATATATATTTTATTAATTTATTTTAATTTATATTATTTATATTTTATTTTGTAATGACATTTGTCATAATGATTCTAGTTTTAGCGTCACCTTAGTATCACTCGGTCCGTCTAGATTTTGAATCAATTTTGCGCTTCGATTTGTTTTTTTTTTTTACTCTAAACCGAAAGAATCTTTCAACAGGACGACAAAGCGTCGCTCTGCCTTACGCGAGGCGAGTAATTAAGCGTGTAATTGATAACGTTTTTGAGATCGGAAAATTTTTTTGTATATGATTTGTGTGTAATAAGTATATAATTTTATTTGACTTGGTATTTTTTTTTTTTTTTTTTTTTTTAAACAATAATACGTTAATCAGTAAAATATACGTAAAATAACGAGATGTAAAGAGAGAGAGAGAAAGAGAATAAACATTTATTTTATGTATCGATAATATCACACTGCAGACTTATTTCTCATTACTTTTTTTAATATAATCTATAACTCGCTGAAATTCGCCGCTCAAAATTTAAACTCGTGGTGGCGTATAGTGCGCGCGGTAACAACTCCGAGGAAGAGGGTGGCAGAACACTCTTCGCTTTGAGATAATATATTTATTTCTTATTAATATGGAGTTTTTTTTTTCATCAACAATAACAGTGTAGCAGTAGGCGTAACAAGAGAGACGAGGTAGGTTACGAGGAACCTAACCTAATGTCGTACGCCAACAAGTCACCGCGGTTAAAAGGGATCCTCGTGGCGTTTTTATTTATTTATTATTATTATTATTTTTTTTTTTTATACATTTATCTTTATGCATTTTTATACATTTACTTTTGTTGTTGTTGTTGTTGTTGTTGTTGTTTTTTCGTACGTCATGCAACGCCGAGTAATCACGACAAGTGATATGATCGGTCGTCTCATATGTTAATTTAATTAATTAATCTATTACGCGAAATAAATCAATCCTCGAACCGCACTGTGTCGTTTATCGTCTCAACTCGTGCCGCTTTTGTTTTTTCTTTTTTTTTTTTTTTTTTTTTTTAATCTATAACAATTAATTGATAGATTGATACGTAAGAGAGGAGATGAATGGATCTTTCAGCCGTGCACTAGCTGATAACATGCGCTGCTTTTCGCACATCGCGGCACAAATTTTTTGTAACGCACATAATTTCAATACGATTATTTTTGTTTTTCTTCACATTACCGCACATTGCGCGCGTACGTAGTAAAATAAGAATCGCATAGTTTACATTAGTCATTTTTTTTTTTTATTGCGATTTATCGTAATAAGTGCTTCGTTAAAGAATTTAATATTTAGGAGAATATTTCTCGATGACCATATGTTCACGCACACAGTCACCTTTCGTGATCACACATCTACGAATTGAAAAATATAAGTGTTGTCTTCTCATATCTCATATTTCGACACCTCAGCTTCTTAAAATTGTAGTACAAGTTTATTGAATGTTGAATTGAAAAGCGTGTGAGAGAAGTGGTAACATATATTGTTGTCATTTAAATATACATATATATATATATATTTAAATATATATATATTTATAAATATATATATATATAATTTATATGTACATATATACGCAACAAAGTTTTTACGCGATCGTTCGAGGATTAAATTGTCGCTTTACAAGATTTTAAGTTTGCCCCCGAATACAAGAAACGCGAAATACACGCCACGATAAACCCATTTGCAATTATACGAACGGAAGAACGAATGCTATGTTTAATCTCTTACAATTAATTATTTCATAAAGTCTAATGCGTTATATATTATGTTACAGTCGATTCTCCTCTACTAAGTGACAAATCAGTACGTCGCTGAAGTAAAACGAAAACGCAAACGTAATTTGCAACATAAACACGATCGCTTTGGTAAGTCTAAACTTAATTTATATAATTGGCTCAAAAAAGTCAAGCCGAAAACGTTCTGAGAAAATTGGTGCCGTATCTATTTTTTGAATTTGTCCGCGCGATAAATGACATCATTTGTATAATTAAAATCTGTAAACCAAGTGTCCAAGGAACTAGGCTGTAGATTATAATTAGTGTATAGTCTGCGATATAGTACTTTTACAATTAAAAAAAAAAAAAAACCAACAATCACCAGTAATACAAAAAGTAGAAAAATAATCCTCCAGTAAAATACTGTCAATTGTCAGATTTTGTGAAGAATGTTTTACATTTGATTAGCGGCACGAGATATTATAATTAACTCGCACGTTAATTCATCACTTAGCAGGGTAGAAATACCGTCTTCGTTACATAATACAAATAGTGGCAGGATTTCAAAAATCAACGTAACAACACACACAGTTCAAATTATGGCAGTGCTTTGTAGAATAATCTTATTGCCCGTTTGGTGAATGAATTAATATGATACCACACAGTACTTAACGTGACTAATGATAAATGTTAATGAGGCGCATTTCGTTTCACAAACAAATATTTATCATCATCAATATTCGTCATTGCGGTTTCTCAAAAAACAACTTCTTGACATTATTCTTTTTTATTGGTGTATCCATACTTGTTTTTTTATTATTATTATTATTATTATTATTATTATTATTATTTTTCTCACAAATTCTCCGCAAGTTTTTGTTTGTCGCTCCTCGTCTATCACATCTAAACACGTCGATGATAAACTTCGTGATTCTTTGCGTAGGTAACACACTCGAATTGTACTTGTTCTCTCTTTTGCATTATCGTCGAGAGCGAAATCGTGATGGAAAGAGAAGAGCGAGTGCACTGCGCGACTATAAGCATGAGCGATCGCGCGCGCTGGAAACGTCAAACGAGGAAAATTTCTAAAATATATGCTTGCTCGCGTGTGTCATGTAGGCCGGTAATTTCAAATATATATATATATATCTTAGTAATGTACGCGCAATAATGTTGCATTGCAGTGAGATAGATGGTGAGCATTTTGAATTGTAACACATTGTGAAAATTTTACACTCTGTGTGTGTGTGTGTGTGTGTGTGTGTGTGTGCGTGTGCGTCAACTCTGTTCTTGCATTTTATTTCTGTCAGATAATTTTTGTCATAAATGTTTGAATTTTATTAGTTCGCATACACGCTCACCGTTTTATCGCACTGCAAAGTTATGCGCTCTGTGAAGTTGACGTTTGCTATCATCATTGAGACCGTTGCGGATGTTATTTGGTGCGTTTATTTCGAAATAGAACAGAGATGAGGGACCAATGCATTTTGCTCTTGTCTTTCCTTGCGTGTTGACAGGCTCTTGTTGGCGCACAAAGAAGGTGGGGGAGGGGGCTCGACCTTTAATTCAGTGCAATAGTGTTCCTTTCAGGTATCTAGTAGAAGACACATATTTACAAGAGGGATCCCCTTCGAGAAGGATGCCGAACTTTCCCGAGACGCTTGTGTGTGAAACAGAACACGCAACGGAACCGGAGAAGTAGGTATATATAGATATAGAGAGCAGACCCCTACTGAACCAAATTACCGGCAGAACCCACACACGTTACAAAGAATTACAGCTCTTACAAATTATTAATTTCGATATATAAGTCTATGTTTGATTTTTTTAGGCGCGGGTGACTCTAGACTGGCCCCCTATGTTTGTATTTTGATCACTTCCTGAATTAATTGCAGCACACAGATTACGCTACGATCCGCTGTGTATATGTGAACGCGTTCCGTGAAAGAATCCGGTCCTTTTTTTAAGTGCGACAACACACTATTCGGTTATTGCACGTGATAAAGAACGAAGACTTGGGCCGCGAGAAAGAGCGTGAAGAGAGAGAGAGAGAGAGAGAGAGAGAGAGAGAGAGAGAGAGAGAGAGAGAGAGAGAGAGAGAGAGAGAGAGAGAGA